TAATTTCAGAGTTTTTGAGTTGGTTTTGATTAGAAGGAGGTGCTGGAGTTGGTGTTCTTGAAGTGTTCTTGAAGGGTGAGAACTACCTCTTTTATTCCCCATTTTGCCTTAAGCTTTTAGCCTATCTTGCATGTTGTTTTAAGCTTAGTGTATAACTGATAAAAGTTCTGTATTTTCATGCTTGAAATGTTTCATTAAGGTCACTTTTGGGTTAGGGGTTGTTTACCTCCTCTTAGGCCTTGTTTGGCCTCTTCTTGTGCCTTCTTCTTTAGGCTTTGTGACCCTTTTGTTTTGGCCTTCTCACCACTGAAATCCAGAGGATTTTCAGTGGTAGAGAATTGGTTTTGAGGTCTTGTATAGGGGAGGGACACCCATCTCCCCTTATGTCCCATTTGCTTGCATTGTTGACTTGTAAATGTAGTATATTGGCTTAATGTGTTTTAGCTTTATTTCACCAGGTATTTGTTGTTAGTTTATCATGTTATACCTCTGTTTCATGTTGGTTCTTTAGCTTATTGCATACATCATACACTTGCCTTGCAATCCTCTTATTTGCCTAAACATGTATTATGCATTTAGACCATCATGCTTGCATGTTTTAGCTTGACTTCATGAAGCTTTTATCCATGTGTGACATGTTTAAGCTCTGTTTGGTGTTGACTTGGTCATGTTCGCCATGTTTTATATAGCCACCATGCATTTTAGCTTGTTAGCTTTGGGTGTGTGAGCCATGAGCATACTTTACTTGGGCTATTTCAGTGGTTTGGAATCACTTATCATGCTATCTCAGTCCATGTTCTATGCTTATGTGCTTACATTTGCCATTCTCTCAATGCTTTGAAGAGTTGTTGTCTCATGCTCCATGTTTGGGCCATTGTGCATACCTCTAGACTTAGGTCATTTAGATGCTATCTAAGTGGGTATTCGGACTTATCTTGACATGCTATAGCTCTGTTTTTCATTGCATAACCCATGCCATGTTTGGTTGAGGTAGTTGTAGTAGAATGTTCTCTTTGTGGCCTTGAATGCCCTCCCTATTTTGTGCCCATTCCTTAGCATGTTTTGGCCGTGCTCCATGCATGCTCTAGCCTTATTTTAGTCTGCCCTAAGATTGTTTTGAGTCATCTTGGCTCTTTGGGGCTTGGTTGGTATGGCCATGGTTTGAACCCCTTTGTTAGTCTCAAGTTTTGGGCTTTATTGTGTGCCCTACTTGCATAGCATGGTTGATTTGGCATCATCCTTTGCACATTTTCAGAGCTTATCATACGTGTCATATGTCCATATTTGTCTCTTCTTAATGTGTCTAAGAGTCGACTCTTTTTATGCCTAAGTGTTGGACCTTTACATGTGCATCTTTGAGTGTGTTTTGTCCATCATTTCTTGGCACTTTGGCCACTGTTTTGATATGGTTGAGGCCTATCCATCCTTAGTGTAAGTCCATAGATCATGCATTCGTGTGTTGTTGTAGGCTTACCGTATTGCATGTTATCGCATCCTTGTGGTTAGTGTCATCGTTGCATGCTTATCACTCGATATACTTACATACCTAGGTTGCATTGTAGTATTACATACTTATTGCATTACCATGTTGCTTGCATTTTAAGTTGCATTGTTCATGTTGCATGTTTCGCATTGCATTTGGCAAACATACATTGCATTGTTGTTTGGTTTGGGGTGTCAAACCAAACATAAGGATCGAGGGACGTTTTGTACTTAAAGTGACGAAACGTGCCTCAATCCTCGGTCACCGACACTCTTGACCCAACATGATAGAGTGTGTAGCATTCATTTGTTTGTTGCATTCATTCCATATTGATATGCACCTTTGGCCATCATGCATCGAAATGCGTGATTGGTGGCCCAATGGTCGAGAGCCATACTCCCTTGAGTTCATAACATGATAGGGAGGGTGGTCGTGCATACATTTGGCTTGCAAATTCCATGCCATGCACTATCTGTCCTCTGTTGCAGGAAAACCAGTGTTCTGCAGGAAGAAATGGCCAGTTGGCCACTTTCAGTGCCGGCTAACTACCAATATCCAGCCGATGGCCTCATATTTGGTCGATGACCATCCTTCCATGGCCGGTAGTCCTGTCTCTTGGCCGGTGACCTCCCACAGTGCTCAAGGAGTGGTTCAAAAGTAGCCTTGGGATTTGTGCAGCTTTCGGAGGCATGAAACAGTGCAAACAGAGGCAACAGTTGGCATGGCAACGGGTTTCCGAGCAAGGCGAATTGAGCATACATCATCCAATCATTTCGAGGCGAAGCTACGGCGGCCTCTTTTATTTTATACTTAGATTGTTTTGTAATTAATTTGTTAATTAATTAAGGGTTTTGTAATATTTAATTAGCTAGGGTAGTTGATTAATTATTTGGTCTATATTATTTATTCGGACCCTCCGTCGAGAGGGCGAATTTTGTAGTAAGTGTGCGTCCGTGTGTGAATGTCTTCCAACCCCACGTCTTTCTCCCTTTTACTTACCTGCTTTTGATGGTTAGTTTTAGGCCACGTTTCAATTAGCATACTTATGTCAGCATGTTTGCATCATTCATTCGTATTGCACGCACCGGGCTCGGTGCATCATACTAACTGCATTGTATTTCAATTTCAAGTTGAATACATGTGTCGATTGTTACATCTCATATGCCATCTTAGAATAGCCGAGCCTATTGTAGTTGCATTTTTGCATGTGTTGCATTAGGCATTCTTAGCATAGTTAGGATTCATGCATGATTTCAAATTAGCTTCTTTCTTTGGCTCGGAGTACTCGGTAAGTGTTTATGTTTTAGCATCCTTGCATGTGTGTGAGTGACTGCCATGACAGCATGCTTACCATGAGGTTATGTGCTTATGTGATATAACTGCCTGAATGTTTGTGGGTGAAGGTTGGGTTGCTTGAATTGGAATAATTTGTTGAAACCCGTGTTTTAGCCTACTTGCGAGTAGCAAACTTCAATCCATTTTCAAAACAAACGGATATGTGATGCTTTGTTCCAACTTAGACAATCTAGTCTATACTTGTATGCTGTGCACATCACATAGTAATTCTAGGCTAATAAATCGAAATAAGAATGCATGTGTTTTCAAAAAAAAACCCGATATCATGTTTAGTAGTGGCCGATCTTTGATCGGGCGAACGGGGGTGCTCATTGCATGACCTTTCCCAATCATACCCAAGTTCTCGAGCCGAGGCAACTTTGGTGATGACGGACACGTGGCCTTAGGCACGAGTCAGGGTTTTCTAAATTCCCCCAAAATAAAATATTTAAGTGTCGACTCTGTATATGACAAAACAGTCTATGTTTGGCACTTCTTTCTAAAAATCTATTTTTCAAAACGATTTGTCGGATTTGGACTCTTTGGTGATTTATCGATCTTGCATTGCACTTTGTGAGATTAGATTCAGAATCATGACGTCGAGTTTGAACTGTAGTGAGCCAAATGAACAAAACGGGGATTTTTCCAGGGCGTTCAGGGACGTCTACACACTCCGACGAGCAAACTAGACTCTTTAGAAAGAATTAGAGTGCAAGATGTTAGAACATACCTTCTCTTTTCACCTTGCTTTCCTTTTATGGAGTCTCTCTCCTCAGATACTATCTCATGTAGCTTAGGCCTTCATCATTGCCACGTGAGAGCTCATTTCCCTCATATTTCTTAGAAAAGGACAGTCTGGGCCCACTTAAAGTGGGGGGCCATGTTGACTTACCTAACATACACTACAAAAATTTTGGTTTTTTGCGACGGCACGGTGCCGTTGCTAATACTCTTAATCCGTTTCAAAAAACTTTTAGCGATGGCAAATGGGGGGTCACAACAGAGGGCATTGCAAAAACCTTTTAGCGACGGTAATTTACTGCCACATATAATATGTAAAAAAGTCAGACCTTTTGCGACGGCACTGTTTTTTCGTCACTAAAAGTTTTATTTAAGACGGCAAAAAATACTTTTGCGAATGGTTTCGTTTTTTTGCAACGACATGCACACTGTCGCCAATGGTTCGAATATTTTTTGCAACGATATAGTGCTGTCGCCAAAAAAAAATGCAATATAATTATTAAAAATTTTAAAATTACCTTATTTTTGTGACGGTGTGGTGCCGTCACAAAAAAAAAATTAAAATTAAAATTACCTGTATTAAATGAAAAATAATTGAAAAATAAACCAATAATTGCATAATAATATAAAAATTCTTGTATAGAAAAAATAATTTCTCCATAATAAAAATATTCTTGCATTCATAACTACACATTAACAAAATTACCCCACTACATAATGTTCTATAATACATATAGAATGTTTAAATACATAATGTTGTTCATAATTCAAAATAACATAAACCAAAATTACAAGTTTTGCTCCTTATTCTCTGTGGATAACAAAAACAAAAATTAGTCACATTCTTCACAGATATGCATTCCACAAGAAGCAAACTTCTACTCGAGAAATATCTGAAAACAAAAAATATATATAATTAATGACAATATAATTATGTATTAATATGTTAATTACAAAAGAACATAAAAATTTAACTACTATAAAATTGCAAAAATAATTAAGTAAATAATTTTTCCTAGACCGAAATCCGACTCTAACTCCCAAACCGGTAATTGTTCTAAGAATCATAAATTAGTCTAAAGTAACTCTTTGTTTTTTTTTTCTAATTATATTTTTGGTAATAACAGCCACATGCATCCACATACATTCACTTCAACTTGTCTCATTCAAAAATTTAAAATTACACATCACAAATAAGAAGAAACGATGATCTAGACCCTTTCATTAATATGGAAAATCATATTGGCATTTTAGCATACATTCTAGAAGAAACTATTTAAAATTGATTTTTTTTTTTAATTTACTTAAAGAATATATTGTATAAATTGATAAAATGTTTAACTATTGTTTTTTTTTTTTAATTGTATTAAGGACTCCTATATATAAATCCACAACAATTGACAAATTAATGTTTATAAGTTATAAATCCAGAATGGTACACCAAAAGGTAGTTGTATGCTCATGATAACTAATTGATACACGGCTACTTCACCTAAAATTCCGATTGAATATGAGAAACTTAACCTTCTAGGTTGGAGAAAATTTAGAAGAGACATACAAACTACTAACTTTTCCTTTGAAACTTTTAATCAAACATAAAGAGTGAATTGATTGCAATATTACCTGACTACTATCCCCATCCACAAGATCACTCATGGCAATTCTACGCTCATACACAACCAGAGGCCCTGCTTTGCTTACTTCTACAATCAAATCAAATTAAACCCAAATCAAAATATGAACATCATGCTAAAGATTATTTTAAAAAAAATTAAAAAGACAAAAAGACAACCTCCTCGTCACAAAGCCAAACCCTCGGCTTCTTCCACTTATCTTGTCATAGTGCGTCACTTTATTAGCCACCTCTGATGGAGTTAGTTTTGCACCTCATTTATAGCAGAGATTCTAAAAGAAGAATGAAATCGTAACAAATAAAAAAAATATGAACAAATTTAAAGCCAACAACCTTATATATTTAATCATGCATAATGAAACAAGCTCACTTAATCTTCTGAATGTTGAATGCAAAAAGTTTCATGCTTGAGATATACCAAGACTTCTATTTACAACGAATTTTTCTAATATTTATATTTTTTAATGTCTAACTTATATTTACGACATACATTGATATGTCAAACTCATGCATGCATAACCTAAATATATCCTTCGAATGATTTCATATATGGAAGCTTATAAATAATGATGCTTTCTATTTTGAGGTCTTACTTAAGTATTAGGAAATTTAAAACAAACCTAGAACATGGATATAGGACCGCAGCGGAAAATTCGCAACATTCCATAGACTGAAAGTTCCTCATATGTCATTCCCATGTCCACCTCATCCAGCTGTTCCACACCCCAAAAAAAATATATAGCTCAGATTTTGACCTATATAACTCTAGAAACTTCTTTTAATTCCAGATGATAACTAACAAAAATGTAAACTTGAAAGAAGCTTTGCATGCCGTCAACATCAAGAACATCAATGCATTAATGAAATAAAATTTGACAGCAAAAGAAATACACATACAAGAAGAACAAAATATCAAGGACACGAATATAGAAATGTGCTTAATTCAATACCTGGCTGTAGTTGGACCGTATAGGCTCCAATTCAGCAGTGGGGGGAACAGCTTCGATTTTTGCTAAAGATGCATATCCAAGATGAGTGGCAGCCCATCCCAAAAATCTACGAAGATCCTACTTACTAATACTTCCAATTGGATTTATATCTGCTGAACTGCAATCATATTGAACCAAAAAAAAAAAAAGAGTAAATAATAATAATAATAATGCAGTTCTCATAAGGAAAACAAGTAAATTACAGATAAAGGCTACTAACAAAAGAAAGATGGAACTAGATGCAGTGGAAAAACATAAAACCAAGTTATTTATCGACACCCTTCATGAGTTAAACAAACATAATGGAAAAATGAATTGAGTAAACCATTGAAGAATATCCCCAAATTATTCCCATATGTAACCTAACTGCATGGAGTCATATATAAACTATTCTTTTTTATACATTAAATAACTGGTGTCATCAAGGTTAGCAATACAAAAAGGTAGTTTGCTTAAGAACCAAAAATATGCTATATCAAATACCTTTGTTAGGTAACCACGCAATCCTTCATCCACATTGGAGCTACCTAGTACCAGATAAAAACCTGGCTTGTTATGAACCCAAGGCATGAGGGATGCCAACATAAATGCTAGCACCATTCTTATTCAAGCTTGAATGTTTTGCAACCACAAGTTTTCAATGTTTAATCCCCCATCTACCTGTGGAAACACAATCAGCTCTAAACATTTACTCAAAAAGCTACCATTCTGATCAATATGATACTGGTTGCACCCAGTTGGCCATTGAATTACAATGCATTCAATCCTCATCAACAATACGGGAAATAGAACTAATCTTAAATTTATTAGAATAGATAGATAGTAGATACGTGCCAATGCCTAGATTCTAGTCAAAATCTACAATCTAGTGCATCATATGAGAAAACAAATTAGGTACAATTTGAAAACATTAACAATATATTTACCCTTTTTACCTTATAGCGCGGTCGCTTCCCTATGTACAATGCATTCAATCCTCATCAACAAAATGGGAAATAGAACTAATCTTAAATTTATTAGAAAAGATAGATAGTAGATACATACCAATGCCTAGATTCTAGTCAAAATCTACAATCTAGTGCATCATATGAGAAAACAAATTAGGTACAATTTGAAAACATTAACAATATTTATTCCCCTTTTACCTCATAACGCGGTCGCTTCTCTGTAAGTGTTTGAAACAGAGAGAGCAAAGCAGAAATAGCACCATCTATGTTAACATCAAGATGCCATGAGCCAATTTCATCTGCCAACACCTTTGCCCGTGTTCTTATGGCTTCAAAACTATAATGAACAAACTCCGTTAGTGATCAATGATATATAGAAAGACTCTTGACTTTGCAAAATGTCCGTGAAGAAAAATTCACAGGAACAAAGTTCTTCAGTAATATTTATTACTAAAAATCATAGATGACATTATTCTGTTAAAAATGGATGAATTACAATGGAAATTGAGGGAAGTCAAAAGTTCCTCTGTATGAAGCAATTTCCCTTCCTATTCTCCTCCTCTTAATTGTGTAAAAACTAAAATAAAACAAACACTGCATAAGGTAAATAGACAAATTCATTTGCACCTAAAGAATTCAACTATGAATGTGCAGCCATCAACTCGAACTAAAGTCCAGCTTTTGGATCACCTGAGCCTGCTGCCACAACTCTCATACCACCAAGAGATGTAACACCCACTTTTTCCTTGTCGGTTGATTTTGTAAGAGCAGTTTTTTCACCATCAAACTTGCGTACAAGTTAATCGATCTTTCGAAATTGATAAAGCCATCTCGCATTGTATAGAAATTGGCGAAGATCAAACCGGTTGTCCTCTAGTGAATAACTCCACATACCGAAGTTCACAAGAGGCCAAAAAAAAAAACCTTCACACCAAATAATTTGAATTTTGCATCAAACAAAACATTATCTACAAAACTAAAATCTCTGTAAACCTTGTTACAATTATATAAAAAACAAAAACCCATATCTATTTCATAGATTTGTAACAGACCAAACCCAAAGAATAAAATTTGAACTCAATTCTGAACTCCACAGAAATTCATATTTCAGTCAAAGAATTTTCACAAACAAAACTTGAAAATTAACAAAAATTCACAAGAACAAATAAATAAATATGAAAATGAAAATAACTCTTCACACCAAATAACATAAATTTTACAT